TTTAATATTTTTCTGCTTTGAATTATAGTCTTGTGTATGAAGGTTTCCTAACTCCATCCATGAAGGTCATCTTTGGCATTTACGCAGATAAAATGTGATCAGCCATTTACCTACAGTAATTCACAAATACCAAATATTACAATACACTTCTGTTAAATATTTGGCAAATAATAGTTCAAATTGGATTGCTATGACTTAACAGAGTGTTGTACAAGGAAAGTGATGGTTATTACTATCAGAGCCTGTGTTCTAGGCAGTGTCTGTGATGTACAATCTGACACAATGGCATGACCTATTCTTTCATTATTTTAAATCCAGTTTTACATTGACTACATTTAAGGTTACATTTCTTGTATTCTCCATGACAAGTTGGCACAAGAACATGCATCATTTAGACTAATTATCCCAACTCAATGTTTTTACATTTTAAATATACAACTGGAACTTGCACACATAGTTATATGAATTTATTAACAAGAGTGCTATTGCTAATAAAACAAAATATTTAATTACACCACAAATCTAAATATACACTGCAGTGAAATAATTTTATAAATATATCAAATTAAGTAAATAAAAAATAAATGAACATTGACTTATCACCTATATCCATGAATATGCAAAATAATAATAAAAAAAAAATCGAAATCAACAAGTATGAATTATATAAGATAATACAGAAATGTCTGGGGATAAAGAAACTAAACACAAGAGACCATGCCTGTTTAATGTGCAGGCAAGTTGAATTTAGTGCAATAAGAATGCATATGAATTGCTAATATATAAGAAAGTAAACATGTGCCATGGATCCCATGTACTCAACAATGGCTTGCAGGGAGTATTGTAACAGGTGTTCAGATTTTCTCTTTTGCTTCCATAATAACATATCCCAGTTGATACAAGCTATGTGGGGAATAACTTTACAATCAGCCATAACATGCTTAATCACAATAGTGGCTTCTTTAAGTGGAGAATTGCATACACTTATATATTATATGGTGTAACTACTTTAAACATCATTGTGCCTAATGTAGCACTATGATGTCACACATTGTGATGTCACCATATAACTCAACTCAAATTAAAGTTGACACAACTAACATAGTAGCTCCTTCACTACAGGTCCATATTTAATTTCTGTCTAGAAATAAAGCATTTAACACCATCAGATGATTAAATATGAATAGCAAAATATATGCAAAAAAAATAAAAGTAAAGGGACACTCTAGTCACCTAGACCACTTCAGCTCATTAAAGTGGTCTGGGTGCAGTGTCCCAGTCCTGGGTGCAGTGTCCCAGTCCCCCTTAGTCCTGCAATGTAAATCTGTTTCTGAGAAACTGCAATAAATACTTTGCAGAACTAAGACTGCACTTCCTGATTCCTAAAAGACATTTCGTCACCTAACTGATGATGGCCGTCCTCCCACTTTGCATAACGACATCTATTATCAGTAAAATTCTCATAGGAAAGCATTGAAGCAATGCTTTACTATGTTGAGGGCCTAATGGATCATCGCTATCCACTTCACATAAAAAAATAAAATACAAAAACAAATAAAAAAGGTATACATATGCAAAAAAAGGTGAAGTATACAAAAATTAAAAAAATAAATAAAGAGAAAATACAATACAATTAATCACAATCATAGATGAATATTAATGGTGTCAAATTTTATATTATTCAAGGACAATAGTGTGTTCAGGGAGGGCATATACCACAATATCACTGTGTACAAACTGTGGTTCGGGTCAGTGCAGTGACCATTAAATAAAGCTGTTATACTCACCATTGATTAGTACACAGAACCTTAATAAAATCTTAGCCATTAACGAGTTATCTAGCTCTTACCATATACGATACAGATCCGTTTTTAATTCAAGTGCTAAAATGTCAAGCAACAATTTCTTTTGCAATAATAAAAATATATTTTGGGTAGTTGAAATGTTATGAGATGGTTGTCTTTCTCATTTTTACTGAAGCAATTCTGCCTCACAAATACATAATCTCCTACTGAACCTCTGGTCCCATGTGGGAGTTCTGATAGTAGAATCTGCAGTCACTCCTGTCAAGGAACTCACCTCATAATAACCCAGGCCCTTATGGTTCTATGAAATAAATGGAAGCAATATTTCCATTGAGTTAACTTGCAGAAATCAGAATTCAAAGATTAGATAAAGTCACAACTTAATGTCAAAAGTTTACCATTTTAAGGGACAACCTCTTATGCTTCATGTTGGAAAATGTGTTTGCACCTGCATAATGGAATTACTGCTGTAACATTAAGTATGGGGTATTTATGTATTTAGTTAAATAATTTAAAAAGTGTATTCACTTTTTATTATTTTAAATGCTCTTTAAAGGAGTTTATATTCTAAACACAGACTATTGCAATATGCTGTGTAATATACCCAAGACTGAAGAAGAAAAAATCACCCAAGCTTTCTTCATACTTGCTAACAGTCCTGAATCTAGAGAGTCAGTCCTTCTGTAGAATTAGTTGTTTACTAAATACACAACTTAAGCTTTTCAATTAATGGTAATTAACTATTTTAGTTTACTTATTTTTTCATTTATTTTTTAATTCACTTAAAAGAAACACTATAGCATTAGGAATACAGATATGTATTCCTAATGCTATGGAGCCCTAATCACCTAAACGATGACTAGAGCCCCTTCCTCGGCGAATAAATGGTTAATTAACCATTTATTTGTTTACCTTAATCCAGTGCCGGACTCCATTGGCGCTGGTGCCCTCTCCTCCTCCATCGACGTCAGCTCCCGAGTGAAGCCGAATGCACATGCGCGGCCAGAGGCATCAGGGAGACAGCCACTAGAGACTGGATTAACCCTGCAGTTTAAACATATCAGTTTCTCTGAAACTGCTATGTTTTCAGCTGCAGGGTTAAAACTAGGGAGACCTGGCACCCTGACCACTTCATTGAGCTGAAGTGGTCGGGGTACCTATAGTGGTCCTTATAGTTGCAGTAATTTGGCAACCTGGTTGCAAAATTTGGCTCAAAATGTTAGGGGGAAAAAATAGCACAGTGGGAGAACATTTTTCATTTGAGGTATTTTAGCCTAAAGCCTTAGCATTACAAGTCATGTCAACTTACTGCAATTCATTGTTTAGTGAATACATTCTTTAATATTTAATCAGCAAATTCTATATAATAGTTTTACCCACCCTTTTTATCACAGCTTCAATTCATAAAGCCTGCCTGTCAGGATTTATTAATTATGCGCATGCACAATCACTTGCTCTTTGCCGTGTATATGGCATAATCTCAGACAGCACCCTTCATGCATTAAAAATTGGAACCCTTGAAACAGTCTCAGGGCAAAATCACCAGAGTTTTTACTGTTTTGTTTCTCACTGAAATTCTGATTTTGAAAAAAATTCTACTTAAAATTAATTCCAATTATACAGAGCTTTTTTAATTGAAATTATTAAACAATTGACATCCTTTAAGGAAAAGTATATATTTGTTTTATCATGTGCTTGTATCTCGCAATTAGTAATAATTATGCTTAGCCCAGTAACCCTTTCAGTACCAGAGAAGAATACAACATTTTGGTTTAAGTGTATGTTCTTTACACTCAAAGGGCAAACAATTCACATGAAAACTTACAACACACCATCAGCCCAGAATAAGAGCATTGTAAAGTGTTCTAAAAGTGCCTTGGGGTTGCTATACACTTGTCCTACTGATGATGACAAATTCCCCTGCAGCGTAATTACATTCTCAAGCCATCCATGCATTTATCACAGTAATGGAATTTAATTTTTTTTCTTTTAATTCTGGAAAAATGCACAGTCTGTCAAGTGAAACATTTTCAGATTATCTATGAGTTTGCTGGGTTTGAATCTGCAAGTGAAAAATCCCTCTTAAAAAGTTAAAGGTGATTTTTTTTTTTTTTTTTTACTTGCTCTTGATATTTTGTGTTTACCATAGCAGTTTGTATCATTAGAAATGGAAAGGACAATGGCATTATGATGTGCAATATTACCCATTAGGTAGACTGTAGGGATTTGTATAGTCACTCAGTTCTGAAACATCACCAGAAAACTCCTTGACAGGTGGATAGGACAATGACACAAGGGAACACCGCACATTTAAAAATCTATATTATTAGTTTTTTTACATTTATGTGAGAATAGCTGGGAACTTAAAGTGAATTTCAGTGAATTTCAGATTTAAAGCCAAAATAGACAAACTTTTTGGCCAAATTTGTGAAATTAATTTTGAATTCACTTTGAATTCCTGGCAGTTCTCACATAAATATATAAAAAAAAAAATAATAATAATAATAAAAAAAACATTAAAGCAATAAATACATATAATATCTATAGTGATTGAACTTGTCCATCTGCTCTGCACCTGCATCATGTAACTATTATTCTAGCCTTTATCTCCAAATGACTTCTGTTAGTAGTTCTTTTTATCAGGCTTGTAAGCAAATATGTACCATTTTGTATTTAAGTTCTAGAGGTAGATTTTATAGCTGTTATTTAATTATTGTAATGATTGCATTCTATCTTTGCTTTCCATAAAAACTTTTTTTTTTTCATATTCAGGCCTAAGGACTTTCACCATTTCGCTTATTCAAATCAGTCATGTGTTAAAGGCAATCTACCATACAAATATGGTCAATCTAGCATAAAAATAGGGGTGTAATCAGCAAAAGTGAAGGTTTAGCCAATGACTAAGGTGCGCTTGGATTGAATTTTGATGGGAAGGCTTACAAAAATACAACATGCCAAGATGCTCACCTTGATTTAACCTTAGTTTACAAGGGAAATTAATGAGCTGAATAAACAGCTAGTAGTTTATTTGGGATGGAAAATTAAATGTTTCTCTTGTTTTAGCATATGGTGTTCAAACTATTTAAAGCAAATCATTTACAAATAGTGATGTCCCGAACTGTTCGTTGAACGGTTCACGAACGGTTCGCCCCGGACTCATCATTGAGTAAACTTTGACCCTGTACCTCACAGTCAGCAGTAACATTCCAGCCAATCAGCAGCAGACTCTCCCTCCCAGACCCTTCCACCTCCTGGACAGCATCCATTGTGAAGCTGCATTCTTAGTGAGCTGTGCAGGAGCTGGGAGGGTCTGGGAGGGAGGGTCTGCTGCTGATTGGCTGGAATGTGTCTGCTGACTGTGAGGTACAGGGTCAAAGTTTACTTAATGATGAGTCCGTGGCGAACCATTCGTGGTGAACCGTGGCGAACTGTTCGTGGCGAACCGTTCGGCGAACTGTTCGGGACATCACTATTTACAAACCAATAATAATGCAGCACAATCAGTAAATATATGAGTGATATTTTAAACAATTATTATATAGAACCCCACAAACTAATACAAGTTACTTAATCATCACCTAGGGCAGAGTTTTCCAAACTTCATGTTGATGAGACACTTTTCAGACATGCATCATTTTGCAACACGACAGAGGTCGAAGCAATGTTATCCTCTTTTTTCCCCCAGCCCCTTTGTGTGCCTCTTTTTCCCCTTACCCTCTCATTGTCTTTTTTCCCCTTCCCCTTTGTGTGTCTCTTCACTCCAGCCTTTCTATGTTTCTCTTTGTTATCATCCCCAGTCTGTCTATTTATCACCCTCAGCCCCTCCGTGCATCTCTTTGTCCCCTTCAGCCCCTATGTGTTTCTCCTTCTCACACTCAGCCCCTCTGTGTGTCTCTTCTGTTTCTTCTACCTGGTCTTACAGGAAGCAGTTCTGTCCTCGGCCACGCTACATGAAGTGACTGGCAGGAGAAGCACTGTGCAATGTGCTCGCCTTCCTGTCGGACACCTCATTCGATTCGCACAACACACTTAGACTGTGCAGCCGACACATTAATATGTTGCGCCTCACAGTTTGGAAAGCTGTGACTTAGGGGTTCAAGGAACACTTTTGAATTGTGAACTGAGCTATTGTGAAATGAATTATAGTGAATGGACAAGTGAACAGCATAATTTAGGCTATAGACAATGTACATCCAAAATAAATATTTTCAAATCAGCTATATTTGATTCAATGTTGCAGTTCTGGTTTAAGTTCAGCTATTTGTGTGTATTTACAATAATATCTCTTGCTGGATTTTTATTATGTACTGCTCACTCTGCTGTCTAAATGATTGAAATTAGTTTATGACATCATCACAAGCCACTCTCACCCCGCTCACCCACGTCATTTTATGGTTTGATTTTTTTTTTACAAATCTTCTCTAAATAGTTGTACATTTATAGACTGAATTTACAAAAATGCTTCGTTTTTGAGACTCTAAAATGTATAGATGTTACAGTAAGGTAAAATAAACAATGTGGCCACTACAGAAATGATCGAACTACTCTGATTTTAATTTATATTTAAAAATAGCTTGTTCTGTGAAGTGCATATTGTAAACAGCATACAAAAGACATGCTTTTTGGCAGGTGGGATTCAAAACTGTCATCACCAAAAGCTAACTGGTCTACTGCAGCAGCCAGTTTTATCTTCTAGGACATCAAAAGCCAAATGTTTATTTTTTGGCAGTTGTACAGAGGCTCATGCAGCTTTGGATATTTCTACAAAAATCTGCACACATGCTCATATAAAGTCAAGCATTATATTTATCAATATTCCTGTATTGTCAGTTAGCAAAAAAATAAAGACGTGGTATGGTATGGATTTAAAGGACCACTATAGGCACCCAGACCACTTCAGCTTAATGAAGTGGTCTGGGTGCCAGGTCCATCTAGGGTTAGCCCTGCCTGCTGTAAACATAGCAGTTTCAGAGAAACTGCTATGTTTACAATAGGGTTAATCCAGCCTCTAGTGGCTGTATCATTGACAGCCGCTAGAGGTGCTTCCGCGCTTCTCACTGTGATTTTCAGCATTCGTAAGAATGCTTTCCTATGGACTGGCTGAATGCGCGCATGGCTCCTGCCATGCATGCACATTCAGCCGATGACGGGGAAAGGAGGGGGAGAGTGTAGCGGAGATACAATATTCCCCAGGCTATCTCCGCTTATAATCCAAGTGAGGCTCAGGAACAAGTAAATTGTAAATCCACAGGCAAGGTTTCCAGCAGGCAAAATAACACAGCAGTATCCCAACAGCAATCCCAATAACTGGACGACACACAGTTTCAGGAGCAGAACTGACAACCTTTATTCCACAGTGCCTTATATAGCATGCTCCCATGCAAGGCAGGGATTTTCCACAATTAGTACATTACCCAATCCGGTATTAGTAATCTCCCACACATCTCCTCCCCTCAGCCTGCATCATAATCCCCTTATACTGTACCCAAATTCCCCCCAGTTCCTGGATATACCCCTAAACCTAGGGGTACCCCTTTAAATGGCACATCCCCTGGGTGAGCAACATATCCAAAAATCACCCAGATCGGTCCAGGGGTTCAGGAAATTTAGGGAGGTACTAAAAAGACCGACCGCGCGGGATAGAACAGCCGAATTGGGTTCCATGCGATGGGGCCCTGCGGTCGGTCACAGTATAAGGGAATAATTTACACGAACGGCTAGGGTTACAGAGATGAGGTAGGATTCACATGAATCCCCTTGTTCGGTTGTTTCTGTCTACCGAACGAGGGGCCGTTCGGTAGGTTGGAACCGAACCGACCGGGCTTATGGAGGTCTCAGCGGTGTTCGCCTAGTCGAGTGTCCGATTTGGGTTCCAGACACTCGACGGCAAAACACCGCTGTTCGGGAGGTTGTAAAATGGCCGCCACCACGTGTTCGTTTCCCGAATGGCGGCCACCCCGAGACACAGGGCCTCCTGCATAATTCGTCAATTACCCGTTTGCAACATTGTTGCAACGGGTAATTGAAGGCACACTTCACACAGGGGAGGTCTGATTGTTCGGTAGTTTCATTCCCTTAGTTTATTCGAATGATTCTACCAAACAATCAGAGGAATACATTTATTTTAAACACATTTAAAACTAGCAGGTTACACGAATGCAGTTATTCACATGAAACTTGCAGGACAGCCCAGTGCCATCCGCTACAGAGAGTCTCCAGCACCGAGGGAGCCCGGCGCTGGAGAAAGGTAAGTGTTTAACCCCTTCCTCTCCATCCAGCCCGGCGGAAGTGGGACCCTGAGGGTGGGGGCACCCTCAGAGCACTATAGTGCCACGAAATCGAGCTTGTTTGCATCATAACTGCTACCACTATATACAATAAAATAACTGTTACCCCCCCCAAAAAAAAAACCTGAAAGATAGAAACTTTTAAATATGTGCTTCCTGAGTAGGGACCCACTGAAGTGCAAGTTATTTGTGCTTAGTTGATAAACCTAAAAAAGCACAAAACAAACAAGTTTTAAGTTGAAGTATGTTCATTAGATGGGCAGGCAAAATACAAATATAACTAATAAAAACAGGAAAAAAAACCTTACCATGTAGTATACTCGCAAAATAATGTGAGCTGGATGTCAATATGATATACAGTACAGTGTAATGACTCTAGGTGTTTGCAAGTCCATGCTGATCCTAAATAGTGTAGGCAGGGTCATGGGGTTAAGTACAGTGGGATACAGGGTCTGTGGATAGTAGAATACGTGTTGAGCCTGCATGCTCTGCGAAGTCTGCACAGATGTTCCATTGGCGGTGCACCTGTACGGTGTATCACAGCAGACAAGCTTAAGAGCAGATCGTTCGCTCCTACGCGTTTCATGTGTGTGTTTCATGAGCTCACTAATTTGAGCTGTTCATAATATTCTTTTGCACACTGTTTTTTGGTAAAAGGGTAATCCAGATATGGACACATTGCTCACTGTGCAAAAAGGGGTATCAACTATACCCCACTCATGAGGCCCAACAAGTCCAAAATGATCTTCTGCGGTTGCTGTATCTGTTTACAGAGTCAGTCTGCCTTTTGGGACTTGACAACCCTTTTGGGTGGGATTAGTCTGATATGCAAATAGTTTTAGGTTCTCTTTGTATTGGCAAAATATGAGCTAAAACCAGCTTGAGAAGTGAACAAGGATCCACCGAAGGGCAAACTGTGTGAGCTTTTGTCTATTCACAGTATTCTCTTTCATCCTGTTTTGTGTACTTTTAAAAATACTTTGATACACCCATACTTTCATATCATCAAAGAAACATGCTGCCTAGATTTCTCAGGTAAGACTTTACATGGTTTTATAAATAATAAATATGTCAAAATCCTCAAATATTCTTAAAACGTAATTAAAGAATTTGCGTATTATATCCTAACTATAAAATTCGAAGGAAACTCATGGAAAACGTTATGTAGGATTTAGTTTCTAGCAAACCTAACTATTAAATAAATTGCATGATTATGTCCTAAATATTATTCCCATTGCAATAATTAAGTAGTTGAAATCAATTGTCCAATTAATGAGTTTTTTTCTTTTTATAATTAAAGGTTTCATTGTTAACAACTGGAGCTGATTTAAAAAAAGCTTTATATAAAAAAGGTTGTAGTTAATTTATAGTGATATGCTAATGTACATTTAATGGTCATTCTCTTTAAGATTCAATATTTCTTACTCATCATGACCTTGAATTTACTATGGTTCCTGGAAAAATAGAGAGAGGGGGAGAGAGGAAAGAGAGAGGAAAAGAAAGTGGTTTGAAAATAAGATGAGTAGTATTGCACTTTCTTTAAGGGAACACCTAAAACCTAAAACATTTTGTCTTTCTCTCATGCTTGTGTGAAGAGACTTTTTTCATTTTACAAAAAGTGCAGAATTTAATAGAAATTGGCACTTTTATAAATGACCTTGTTACACCACACTGGCTGTCAATCCGACAACCAGTCCTGTTACTTCCTGGTACTTACCTTAATGGAGCTAAGCTCAAGAGGCAGGCAATCATAAAGAGACCTTGCCTTGAAAAGGCTTCCCATCGAGCTGCATTGGGAAGTCTGTGATTGGACAGCCACAGAAAGGGGAAGAAAGGTTGTTGCAAAGAGATCTGCAGCTTTTGCAAGCTGTTTTTAGATACACTGCCAATGAAAAAAAATGCATAATTATACGCATGCATGTTTTCATTGGGGGTTTAGTCTTTTCTATTATTTTTTTGTTTTTTTGTTTAGGCAATGGATTGTCCCTTTAATCTTAGGGCATCACCAGGACACAAATGCATGTCTGAGATTAGTGGGCCTTACTCTGCCATTAACCCTTTTAGG